AACAAAGTTAATGTTTTGGAATGACTGAGTCAAATTCCGGACCTTAATCCAATTGAAATTTTGTGGAAGGACCTGAAGCAAGCAGTTCATAGGAGGAAACCCATCAACATCACAGAGTTGAAGTGGTTCTGTACTGAGGAATGGGCTAAAATTCCTACAAGCTGTTGTGCAGGACTGGTCAGCAGTTATAAGAAATGTTACTTGCAGTTATTGCTGCATCAGATACTGAAAGCAAAGATTCACATACTTTTGTCACTCACAAATATTTAACACCGGATCATTTTTCTCAATAAATAAATGACAATTCACACCAAGCTGCTTACCTATTGCAGATTCAGTCTTCCCAGCCTGGTGCAGGTCTACAATTTTGTTTCTGGTGTCCTTTGACATCTCTTTGGTCTTGGCCATGGTGGAGTTTGGAGTGTGACTGTTTGAGGTTGTGGACAGGTGTCTTTTATACTGATAACGAGTTCAAACAGATGCCATTAATACAGGTAACCAGTGGAGGAAAGAGGAGCCTCTTAAAGAAGAAGTTACAGGTCTGTGAGAGCCAGAAATCTTGCTTGTTTGTAGGTGACCAAATACTTATTTTACCGAGGAATTTACCAATTAATTCTTTAAAAATCCTACAATGTGATTTTCTGGATTTTTTTTCTCATTTTGTCTCTCATAGTTGAGGTATACCTATGATGAAAATTACAGGCCTCTCTCATCTTTTTAAGTGGGAGAACTTGCACAATTGGTGGCTGATTAAATACTTTTTTGCCCCACTGTATAAGATGCATGAAGTGTTTGAATATCTGGTTAAATTCTACACAATATCCTAAAACAAAAAACTAAACTAAACAAAAATCTGAAGATGAACACTGGCTTGTACCAAAGATCTCACTGGGCTCATATCATACAATCTGACAAGCAACGATTTTAAAGGATAAAAAACAGTCGAGTGAGAACCCATGTTAAAGTAGTTTGGTTTACCACTGTTACTTGTTGACAGATGGGATGTCATCTTTATTCATTGTGAGCTGGCAGGAGCGGCATCCCTGCATGCCTTACAGCGTACAAACAAAAACAATCTCCATGTAGCCATCAACATGACATTCAGCATTGTGAATGCACAGTTTACAATGAAACAAACAGGAAAATCTGATTCCATGTTAAAACAGCATCAAAGCTTAAACGGGAGGTCAAACTATGGCCTCAAGAATCACTCATTACAGTGAGACACTGAGCACCTGGTGTGGGAGTACAGGGCAGAACAGGTATGCAGAGCTCCACTTGGCCACATCCTTAAATCCTTGAGAAGAAATGTCAAAGGTTAAGAGTTCAGGAAAGGTGGAAGGGCTTCAGATGAGTTAGCTTTCTTCACTTAACTGTGTGATGGGAAAAAACACTAGTCTAAAGAAAGTCACTGAGGCATGAACAGAGAGAGATTTGAAAGTGGCTTTATCAGCTCTCTATGTTAATGAATGGAGTAAGAGGGAGATAAAGCATGGGGAGTCTCAATATATTTGCGAAGATGACTGACGGTGAATATTTATGCAGTAAAAGCTTTATAATAATGTGGAAAGTGTGCAGTTTCAGATTAAACTTTAACATCAGCTGATCAACTCAAATGGGTCTCATTCCTTACAATTGCTGATCCTTGATTAGCTGTTTTTGGCAAAGATCTCAGAGCTACAGGCAGTGTAAAATCATAAAGTGAATACCAATTTGCTGACTAAAGAACCTTTAATGAAAATGTTGTTTCAAATTGCTATACTGAATAGAGGTCTACCAATATAACAAGTTTTTGTCATTTTAGCATTTTAATTTATTGGCATTGGCCGATAATTGTCAGACTGTAATTTTGTCAGTGCTAAGAACACTAGTGCCTGAGGACAGATGCATAAGACCTCCATTCTCCATCTTCATTAGCTTATAGCCTTTAACAGTTCTGCCTAATAAATTATTAGACAAAACTGTTTTAAAAAAGTAAACCAAACATGAGAAAGTATTATAACGTTTACCTTTCTTATATACACATTAGGATTTAGCAAATACACATTTATAGAATTTAAGTCTTTAAAGATTCAATAACTATTTAATTAATTCATTGGTTCCTTTTCATTCATTAATTCATTGTCATTACCAAGTCAATATAAATGAATTGAACTGAATTCAAAGTTTGAAATCAAACTTCATTGCACCAATATGTGTAGGCTATTGTACAATGAAAACGATGCCATAGAACCATCCAGCATACAAGCCGTGAAAAGGTACATATAAAGGCTGGTCTGGAACCACATGAGGGAGTAAATGTCAGCAGAATTTTCACTTTTGGGTGAACTATCCCTTTAATTATAGCACTACTTTAATCAGTGAAACTAATCTTCTCTCTCATCTGTCCTTCTCTCTGCATCAAGACAGAGCCTCTGTTTTCGGGCTGCTTTTTCACCTCCTCTGCATTCGTTCTGGCGTTCCTCCACTCTTCAACCCACACGCTCCTTAGTGGCTGAGCAATGGAATGTGTTTACACTGTTCATTCTCTTCTCACTATCCTTCAGGCTCCTATAAGCATGATGTTCCAGTGAATTCGACACGAATATGACCATGATACTGGTCAGTAAAACTTTTGTTGCTTTTAAATGCTTTAAAAATGAACAGTTTCATTTGTGCCAGAATTTTTGAACCTATATCTGCATTTACATACTGTCCGCTTGTCAATGTAAACACAGTGTGTGTGTGTGTGTGTGTGTGTGTGTGTGTGTGTGTGTGTGTGTGTGCGCTGAGAGCTGTGAGAGAACAGAGCTGCTTACGGTCAGGTGGAGGAGGGGGAAAATCCTCCATGTCCATGCTGAACACACACTCTTCTGAGACACACACTGATGATCAGGGAAAGATCCTTCACCAACTCTTACAAACCTACAGGAGCAGAGAGACAGCGGTTAGCCACAGAGACAAGAGTTCACCCACACAAACACTCACAAGAATGACCTCACAGCTAAAGCAACAGTTCATCCAAAAATACAATTATGCCATCATTTATTCATCCTCATGTTGTTAAAAACCCATAAGATGTTATATTTTCCAGGGAATACTAAAGTTGATATTGTTTTAAATAATTCTTAAACAGCTCTTTCCATTCAATGGTAGTTCATAGTGATGACTAGGGCCCAACAAGCTCCAAAAGGACCATTAAAGTCGTAAATATTATTATTGTGCATATTTAAATTTATGTAAACATTTGGAGACAATATCATCACAAAAACATAGCACTTGAAAGAGATAAGGAGAGAAAGCATGTTAATATAAACTACTTTTATATTTTCTAGAAAGGCAAAAATCATTGTCCTCGACACACAGTCATGGGGGTTTGCGAGAGTCCTCTCTATGACATAATTTCCTGTTTTATGGGTTTTTTTCTGCTTGCTTCTGTATGTTTGTTGCACCACAAGCTTTTGTAAATTTTAATAGAAAGTAGAAGCAGTATTGTAAAACTTCTTCTATGAAATAATAAAATATTGTGCCAAACTAGTTAAAGTCATCATGAAATATCAATTCACCCTGTCTATTTTGTAAATGCATGTTATTTATCTTAGTTCTTTTATTGACCTTGTAATTTTTCAATCAAAATGTCCTAACTTAATCTTCTAGTGAAATTGACTTCTCTCTGGTGAAATATGCCAGACTTCTCCAATCATTTCTACTGCTTCAAACCTGCCTCTTTCTTACAATCAACTGCAAGTTTGTATTAATTTTCATGTGCAACGCCCACATCTCAAAATCCAATTAACAACCAATGCACAAAACCAAGTCCCCATCCCAACATGTTTTTCTTTTTCCAATAATCCAAAAAAACTCATTGACACAGAAGTAACGGGTCGACCAGTGGTGCCAGTTATGGGCAAATCATCTCAACCTCGTCACAATTCACCAACCCATCACATCTGCGCTGATTTACCTCAGTCATATTCAACCCTGATGACTCATTATCTTGCCTCTGTTTGCTCATTTGCACTGATATGATTTGTGTTATTGCAGGAAAGTACTCAACCAGAAAATACTGGGCTAAAAATTCCTCACCACCCTTTCAGCAAGCTACAGTGTGTCAAAGTCAGATATGTAATCAAGTGTCACATGATACAGTGGAGTGGCAGCTCGTCACTGTTGGCCCACTTATTACATCCAAACTGCAAACGCATGTTCATGCACAGACATGAGTGACCCCCCTCCTATCTGTGACAGTGAGGGATAGAAAAACCTTTTATCTCTTTCTGTATCTCTTTCTCTCACACACACACACACACACACAACAGTGTTTTCCTCTGAACTGTGTTTCCAGATGAGGGTCAGTGGAACAGTGAAGTCATTCTGTGGAACAGAGGGGTTTCTCATGAGGCTGCTGTGTGCAAGACCCTCAGGGTCAGCAAGAGACGAGGCGGACTGACTGACGCACAACTGTATTATCACAGACAATAAGATCCTGGCACAGACACGCAAGCTGTTCTCCCACTATCACAGCACTTAGTGCATTCTACACACGACGACTCGTGAGTCAAACATTTTGCTGACGGCCGCTTGAAACATTTGGAATGACACAGCAAAACAATAAGTGACTGCCTACTGTTTTAACAGCACTGGTTCCACAAAAAGATTAAGTAGCACAACTGTTTTCAACATTGATAATGATAAATGTTTCTTGTGCTCCAAATCAGCATATTAGAAAGATTTCTGAAAGATCATGTGACAGTGAAGACTGTAGTAAGAGCCCGTTCTCATGAAATTGCGTATAAATAGTACACCAAAAAAAACGAAAACTCGTGGTATTGATATGCAAAAATTGGCGTGCATATGATACGCATGTGTTGGGCGTGCATATAATACACAGTTTTCGCGTGCATATGATACGAAATTTGTTGGCGTGCATATGACACACAGTTTTTGCGTACATATTATACGCATCTACCCCACAACCCTAAACCTACCCATCACGTAACATACACTCTTAAAAATAAAGGTGCTTCAAACGGTTCTTCGAGCGATGCCATAGAAGAACCATTTTTGGTTCCACAAAGAACCATTCAGTCACAGGTTCTTTAAAGAACCATCTCTTTCTTACCTTTTTATTAATCTGAAGAACCTTCTTTCGCCCCAAAGTACCTTTTGTGAAACAGAAAGGTTCTTCAGATGTTAAAGGTTCTTTATGGAACCATTTAGACAAAAAGGTTCTTCTATGGCATCGTGAAGCACCTTTATTTTTAAGAGCGTATGGACCAAAGTCCGTTTTTGCGTATCAATACCACGAGTTTTCGTTTTTATTTGGCGTACTATTTATTCGCACTTTCATGAGATCGGTTTGGAGTAATGATTCTGAAAATACAGCTTTGCCATCACAGGAATAAATTACATTTTACAATATATTCAATTAGATAATGCAATAATATTTATCAATATTACTGTTTTTACTGTTTTTTTATCAAATAAATGCAGCCTTGTAAGCAAAAGAGACAAAGAGCATTAAAATAATCTTAATTATTCCAAACTTTTGACCATTAGTGTATATATTTCTCTATAGAGAAGACAAATGGCATTTTTTACTTCCAGAACTTGACTGTTGCATATAATGAGCTGATACCATGACACAGTCTGTCAGTGGTCTAAAAATAAGACAGGATGCTTATTTCGTCTACACACTCTTTAAAGCTTATCTTTCTCTCTCTCACCCCAGACTCCATATGTCATAATGTAGATGAGATATGAGAGAAATAAGAACAGATGTCTACCCAGCTTTGGGTGGGCAAATCAGACATGTATTCTGCTTGTTATGTTGACATAGTTGTTGCAATCTAGGAGTTTGATCATAACAAATTTGTCCCCAGAAGTCGACTATATCTGACAAAACTTCTCTTTATAGACATTTGGGGATGTCCACTTGGAAAAATGATTCATAAATAAGGAAGAGAAATCATTTTTATATTTACATTAAATAATTATATAAATGTATGGTATGTCCCCATTTTTATAACATAAATGTGTGTGCGAAACAATTTCTGATAAACTGTGCTTTGAGGGAAAAGACCAAACACACACACACACACAAACCATCCAACAGGAAACAGAGCAATGACAGAGCGTGTGAAGCTTGTAATAACAACTCGCCTGTACCGAACAGAACAACACAAACATTAGTCACATACACAGAAACACTAATTGATGGATCAAACACGAACACAGCACATTTGCCTTCAGAGTACCATGACACCATGGTACCATGACACCATGACACCATTACAATATATCACTCAAATGTCAGGTAGTTAACAAGATGGAGCTTTAAATGACACGTTCCAGAGGTCTGTGGCTTTAGAAAAGGCCGCTATGGGATATAAATTTATTCCTACATGATAGTCTTAAGATTTCATTCTCTGTTCTGATGAAACCACAGACTGTAAATCCTTCAGACAGACCACACTACCGCTGATGTGAAACAATCAACACTGAAACAGCCATTTATTACTGATAAGGATATTTCAAATTAAATTATATTAATTTTCATCTTCATTTTTACTGTAAATATTACCCTGAAAATCGAATATATTATTTTTTTACGAAACACATGAGAAGATAAAAAAAAAAAAAAAAGTTGTTGTAGAACAGTTCTTGTGCAATACGCATGAAACATCCAGAAAGGTGGGAACAGATTTGTTAGTACTTGCATGTGTGTGCGTGTGTGCGTGTGTCAGCATTGACCATGATGAGCTGATCAATGTTTAGTTTGAGCTTGACTTCTGGGTGTGTAATTGTACAGGCGAGGAAAAAAACCCTGCCATCTAAATGAAGCTGCAGGGCTGCTGCTAGTCCGCAGTTTCCTGTATCAATCCAGACACGTCTGAGAGAATCAAGTCAGTTTGTTAGTGTAATATACACCGTTATATTAATTTTCATCTTCATTTTTACTGTAAATATTACCCTGAAAATCGAATGTATTCTTTTTTTACGAAACACATGAGAAGATAAATAAAAAAAAAAAGTTGTTGTAGAACAGTTCTTGTGCAATACGCATGAAACATCCAGAAAGGTGGGAACAGATTTGTTAGTACTTGCATGTGTGTGCGTGTGTCAGCATTGACCATGATGAGCTGATCAATGTTTAGTTTGAGCTTGACTTCTGGGTGTGTAATTGTACAGGCGAGGAAAAAAACCCTGCCGTCTAAATGAAGCTGCAGGGCTGCTGCTAGTCCGCAGTTTCCTGTATCAATCCAGACACGTCTGAGAGAATCAAGTCAGTTTGTTAGTGTAATATACACCATCCAAAGAGAAAGGAAAACTTGAAATCGCATCATATGACCCCTTTAACCAACAGCAGTAGTGATACAGAGCGAAATTTAAAGGGGAGGTCTAATGCGATTTCATGCATTCTGACTTATTAACATTGTTAAAGAGTTGGATTCTCATACTAAATATGGTATTACATGTGGTATTTCTGTGCCAAATACACTCCTTTAGGGTTCTTATAAGTTTCAGAAAGTTTTTTTTTTCGAGTATGGCCCTATATGACATCATAAAGGGCAGAATTCCTTGTATGGGCAATTCTCCCGGAAGAGCGTGTGCACACATCAACCAGAGCGTGAGCAGGATTTGTCATTTTGTTCTTAGACCACGAAATCAACAATTTCACCAAAGAAGTGTGTTTTAGGTTCTAAGGTAAAGATGACCTTGTTCAGCTTCTAAAAGAACCCAGCGTTAAGGGAACAGTTGATGCAGTTTGTTCCCGGCATTTCGCTGACAAATGTTCTATAAACAAATTAAATAAAATTTAATTCAATAAATTGTGTTCCTGTTTTATTTATGTCGATGTCACAGCTTGCAGATGATCACTATGCAAAAGTGACTCATTAGCTCCGCCCATGGCATGCCTCCAGGAGCCTGACAGTTTTCAGAGAAGCGTAAAGCTGTATCTGTCTTTTCTAAATCTGATAAAACAAAAAACTCCTCACAGATATGAGAAAGATGCAATAATACTCTATAGGTACACAAGATTAGGGCTGCACAATAAATCGAAATGGAATCGAGATCGCGATTCGACAGAAGCTGCGATTGTCATGCGTATCTTTCAGTGAAGCACGGTTCTGTGATCAGTAGTAAATCTCCATCCAAAGGCCAGAGGGCGCTCTCGCGCTGAAACTCCAAATACGCCTCCCAGAAAAAAAACCCAGGAAATGCCTATCGCTGCAGCTGAATAAACAGAAGATTTAACTGCTTTTATTGATTCAACGTGACTAATAAACACACGACTACGGCAATATACGGTTTATCTGAGTTCTTATTATTATAATTTTCATTAAAATAAAGTATATTTATAATGCAATGCCTTTATCACTGCTTAAATACTATGAAATATGTTGCGTGCCTTATTCTGTGTAAGAAGCTACATCATCTCACAGAAGGATTTATTTCAAACACTCGACTGACGTTATGAAGTGAGTTTGGAGTAAAAATATGTTATTAAATGTGGTATTTTCACATGCTTTCAGATGGAGCAGCATTTACGTCACAGAGCCACTGTGATTTCGCTCATTATGAACAATTTCATAATCGCTCAATAAAATCGTCTGCGATTTTTTATGTGTAACTTGTCAGTGAACTACGGCTATGTGTAGTAAATTCTGCTCCATCTGAAAGCATGTGATGATGATTTCCTGCTGATTACAGAACCAACATTACTATCAAAATGCTCATGACAATCGCATTCGATTAATCGTTCAGCCCTACAAGATTAACATGACATTGCCAGAAACAGTTATGTCCCATTTAAGCCACAGTGAGCTTGGAAATGCTCAGATGGAAAATAGAGGTTTTGTGAGCTGAGACCAGACTCAAAAGAATGATTTTTACATAATTTTCTTTTGTTTTGCAGGAGAAAGAAAGTTATCACACAACATGAAGATGAGTAAATGACAGATTTTGATTTTTTGAGTGAATTTTAACATAAGCCATCTACTGTTTCTTAAAGTCACAATTTACTGAAAATAGAAACATCTTTTTTCCATATTGTGACATGTATTCAAGTTAAACTGATTAACGAGGGGAAAAAAAACAGGACATGATTCAATCCATTGGTTGTTGATTGGATGGAGGCTGATCGGATTGTGAACGAAAGAGGCGGAAGATCAAGTTATGATATTTTGATTAGAATTACGGGCTCAAAATTAAAAAAAAAATTAGATCAATAAGATCAATAACATGCATTTAGAAAATAGGGTGAATTTCTGTTTCATGACAACTTTAAAGAATGAATGCTAAAGGTACATGTAAACATCTCACATAACACCTTATCATAATATATTGCCTTAAAGTATTAGAATAAATGAATTAAGGTCTTTCCATTAAGTCTGAAAAGATGTTTAGGTTGCTGTTCAGGGTCAAAATTTAATTCACAGTAGACTTACAGAAGTACACTTTACAAACCACTAAATAATAACCTGGAAGAGTAAACGCCACATGCCATCCATCTATTTTCTCCTATAAAACTTGAAATGTGTTAAATATGCACCCAAAGCAAACTCTGTGACCTCATGCAACACACCCAATAAGAACACACACACACAGGCAGGTCAAAGCCAGTCTAAATCCTGCTGGGTTAGACATTAAAGACAAAGGATAAGGAGACGAGAACTTAAGTTTGATGATGAACCCTAACATAACAGCCATGATATCCTGTTATCGGAGTGTCACCATGATAACAAAAGAACTGCTAAACAGACATGAACGCGAAATGATGATTAGATTCGCATTCATCTTAAAGGGACAGTTCACCTGAAAATGAACATTCTGTCCTTATTTGGACATTATCATGCTGTTCCAAAACAGAATGACTTCTATGGAACACAAATGAAGATATTTTTAAAAATTTCTCTATGCTTTTTTGTCCTTACAATTGTTTTGGACCCCACTGACACTCATTGTATGGAGCAAAAAAAATATTATATTTTCTTTTGAGTTCTACTGAAGAATAAAACTCATTCAGGTCTGGAATGACAAGAGGGTGAGTAAACGACAGAATTTTCATTTTGGAGTAAACTATCCCTTTAAGAGTTTCAGGGAAGGCAAATTTGTAGTGCTTAACTGAAATAAATTGAGAGCTAGCATCACTCCTGGCACGTTTGGCAACTCCTTGGATTCTCAGCGGATTTCAGTAATCCTTCACAGAAAACACAATCTCATTCATGGACATGGGAGCTCTAACAATTAACAAACATGGATCCCAAGTGTATTTTATGACCACAACGTTAGACAACTCAACAAAACAACATCTGGCCCAACTGTTGCACAACAAAACAACCCAGTGAATATCATGCAAACAAAGAGTTTTTTCCTCTCACTTTTGTCTCTTTCTCCCACTGTGTCCAAGTCCCCCAGTCATAAATTCCATTTTCCCTGCAGATTCCTTCAGGAAAGATTTGCCACTCCACATCAAATCACACTGATATGATGTCATTCGCCCTTAAAGAGCTCTATTGTATACCAACCTCTGCCCATGTGGAGCACTAGAGAAAAACTCAAGGAAATGTTGATTGGCTACAAAAAGAAATGCTTACTTGGATGTGGATTGAACCAGTGAGCTTCAGGATATGTTCAGCAAGCTTGAAAAGCTTGTAATCCACAGCCTTTATTTACGGAGCAGATCACTGTGGGTGGAGAAGCCCCCTGCTCCAGTGGTGTGGCTATTTGCTAAGCAAATTGCCAGCAATCTGAGCAAATCCTGTCCTCTCCTGAGCTCTGATGCAAAGTGAGTTGGACAAGCATGGAGTCAAACAATGCAGTCGCACATGAGAGAGCTCTTCCATCGTATCACACACACTCATCTAGGAAAAGGCCAGAGGGCCTTGGATTCCTAAAAGCACTGCAGCTCCCGGGGAAGGAAACGATGCAGTAAAACTGAGAGGAAGTGGAAAGTTTCACTAATTAAAAAGAGCATTCCTTAAATGTTTCCAACCATTTGATCCATATTTAACTGGGAGGTATGGAGCTCAGAACTGCATGACCCACTGTCTGCATGAAAGCTTAGATCTTTAGAAATGCTCTGGGAATTATTCAGCAGCCTTCTTGTCTACAGGCACAGAAGAATTTATCCTTCAGCCCTAGTACAGATTGTCAAAACTGTGAAGGACAAACACAGTACATTTCAAGAATGAGGAGTCAAACTGTTTTCATATTGAAGGACACTATTTGTAACACAATAAATTGATTGTTGTAGCAGGGTTCTTTTCCATGATTTTTCAATGACTTTGTGATAACTGGATTTTTAAACATAATTTCAACCAGCCACAATGTGAACTGAGTGCACCTTTACTCAGTAAGTTTTCTGCATTTTCTGCATCTCATACAACACACATCCATATAATGGATATCCTTGGATTCAATCCTAACATATTTTTGTGTGGCGTGCTTATTTGCTCTAGCAGGTAGTTCTTGTTTGGACATTTGGACAGTCTCAGTGACTAAATGTAATATATTAAGTAGATACAGAATTTTTATTTCTGACATTTAATCAATTGCATGACAGAGCTGGTCATGTGATGTCAACATGTCAGCATCCACTCTCCCTTTATAATAAAAAAAAAAAAATTCTAGAAGGCTGATAGGATTATGATTGATCTCACATGAGTGTAAATCATATTTGCCATATTTCTTAATTGTACTGTTAATTTCTTTCTAAGTTTTTAATATGTAAAAAAATACAGAGTGCATAATTAAATTTAAACAAAGAGCCATTTCTAGCTGATCAAATCTAGGACGATTTATAATAAATTCCAAGATTTTAAAAGAATGAATTAATATCCTGGCCTGGAAATCCCAATTTTAAAATTCCCTAATATTTCTAGTTGTCTATGAACGCTGTACTACAAGTTTTAAATTAGATTATACCAGCCTTATGCATTAAGTGGTTACTGTGAAAGCTCAATGCTTATTAATACCGAAGCGTAAAGATTTTTTATAAAATCTGACATGACTGTGTGCTGTTGTCACTTGCCACGTAAAGCGGAATCCAGCAGGAAAAGCGCAGCCGTCCCATCAAGCACAGATGTTGAAAACTTGAAGTTATTAAAAGAATATCATCATTGCGACAGTGCTCAGGCAATAAGCTTCATAACAGGGTGCAAACTGCAACAAAGACATCAATATTATGCAAGACGTGCACGCTACAAATTACAAACTTGTTTAAAACATAATAGACTTTCAGTAGATTCTCAAGTGTTTGGGAGTTTCATGCGCATGGTTTATGAACTCACCATCTTTCTGGATCTTTGTGGAAGAAAATTAAGTTTAAATTCCGTCAATGGTGCCACAACACCGGTTAGGTGAACAGAACAAACACCAAAAATATTCTCTGCATCATTTTTTAAGGACTGTAGGCAACTTTTCCTCTGCTTTTCCCAAACGCGAGCCAACCACTCCATGGCCCCACCCTCCGCTGCAGTCTCATTGGTGGAAATTTTGTTGGCGGTCTTTAATTGGTTTCAAGACACGTCAATCAAACTCCCCGCGATTCTCCGTGTAGATGGACACAGGCGTTCCAATCTGTGTCACGTGACGTGTGAGAAGAACCGCTCCGCGGCACCTTATGCCTCTCTCACATCCAGAGTTCTACATCAATTTGTATAATTCTAAAATTTGCAGGAAAATCTTAATAAGTCTGTTATAATAAATAGGTGAAATAAACACCTAGATTAAATACAATATCAAAGCATTTCACATAAATACTTGTTTTCTTCAAGCCTTAATAATAAAATGAAAATCAAATAATAATTTTGAAGTAGGTTGTGATTTAATGTAACAGATTCCTTTCACAAATGCCCAAAATCTAGCAAATGATTGCAGTGTATTTGCAGCGCTGTACTGCACTCTAGTGGTCACACACAAACTCGCTGAATGCTTTCAAACTTTAATGCGTTATTCCAACCTGCGATTCATTTCGATTTGTGTGGGGGGTCAAATTTAATTTCTGTACTTTAATAATAATAATAAAGTCAGCAGCTGGCCAAAGAGCAGAAATTATGTCACAGCCAATCAGATTTTTTCGTGCATTTTTTGCTTTTTTTCATTTGGACCGGTGTTCGAACCCCACTCACGCAGGGCTAAACCATAATTTCACACAGCTTTGTGATTTTTATAAAACAAAATTATAAAATTTAACAATATATTACAGCTGCAACGTATTTTACATTTGTGTCTTGCCTTTTTGGATTGCAAGGCAAAGTTTTATGAATAAATTATTAATATTAAAATAAATACAGTAAAAGAATAACATTACATGTTTATATTAAACACATGAATAGTTATATTAAATGGCTTTTGAAATGTACATAGGAAGCATTTAAATTTAACTCAAACTGAGTAATATTCAAGTACTGAATGAAAATTGATTGAGTGATGGAATAATTGGTCACACTTAAGTTAAATGATCAATTAAGTGTTTAAAAACCATAGAAACTGTAAAATATTAGTCACCCATTAAGCAATTTGTAATTTTCTGTGTTTTTGAATGAATGCTTTAAGCACTTTTTAAGATTAGTCAATATTAATCCAAAATAATTAAGTAGAAGGAAAAATAGAATTCTGATAATATATACATATAACAGTCTCACACTGAACAATAAACAAATCAATATATACACAAGTAAAATATTACTAAGGGGCAAAAGATCAAGAAATATAATTTATTTCTTCTTCTTTTTCTGCCACCCATCTCTGGCTTTACAGCTCGTAAAATGCAGACTCTTTAAACTCTTTCCAGGTCATCTCTTTCTGCATGCATGAGGTTGGTAAATGGAAAAGACTTTAGCAGGGCAATAAACATATTTCCCTGCTACACCAGGAAAGCCTGTGTGTATGCGAGGACTGGACCCTGCTTCAGTTCCATTTGGCAAATTCTGCACAAGCAGCCATTGTGTTCAGTTTCAGGCCTTTTAGGTTGTTGCTGTCCTTTCTCCTCCACCCGTTTCTTTGTGGCCTCAAGTTCACTCTTAAAGAACTCTATTTCCATAAAGTCTTGGAATGGCATTCTGGGTTTTTTTAGTCCTTCACCACTGTGAGCATTAAAAACCTTTGTGGAACAGTAGAAGTACCCGACAGGGCCTTGCTGATTAAAAAAAGTGTATAGCGGAACCATCGCTCTCATAGCGAGACTTTGGCTATCCACAAGCAAGACAAGTCATTGTTTGCTGCTTCTTCTTCTGCTCAGGTTGCTGCTGCTGCTGCCACTCCATAATACCACTGTTGCCAACTCTCGCGAGACAAATAAGCAACCGCAGCTTCAAAAACAAGCCCACAACAAGCCCAATATTTATTGATAATTTATTATCATCAATATTATTTATTATCAATTATTTATTACCAATAAATGAGCCCGCAATTTATTAAACTGAAACTACCCTTTTATCTGAAAAGCAAAAACATAAGTTATTTTGCAAAAATCAGCCAACTGCAATAAAGCAGGAACAAAACTCATCTCCAGTCACCTGTGAGCAGTATAGGATTGGAGAGATGGAAAAGGAGAAAAACACAAGAGCTTCAAAGGGGAGCTGTAACATAGCCACATATTTATAAAATATTGGCTATTCGAACCAAATCTACTATTAGTATAGGCCTACTTGTTTTTTTGTTTTTTTTACAGCCCGTGATAATTAATACATTACAAAAACATTATAAAAAATAAAAATTAGGCTACTTTATAAAGGAAAAAAGTCATCCCACTCCTCTACGTCTACTATCATCGCGCGCCTTCTTTTTGAACGTGATTTTTCTTCAATCCCTCAGAATCATTGAAGAATGAGGGATTGGGGCGTGTACGGAGGGGGCGGAATATTTCACAAATTACGCTACAGCACTTATACTTTTGCACTTATTGGCTATTAACTATGAGCAGACAGAGTGTCAATCAATGCATTGCAATGCAATACAGTGAACATAAATGAAAAGTAACGAAGTTGCTTTTCAGGTTTTCCTAGCAAGCAACCATATATATTTTTTAATAAACCCAAAAAACCGCAACCCGGGATTTTATCACGCAATTTTACAAAAAAAGAAGCCCAAAGTCGCGTATAATACGCGGACTTGGCAACTCCGCATAATACCCTCCACAATTCTCTCAGTGGTCAGAACAGGTGCGGGTGGGTTTACATCTGCAGGCTTCATTATTAGGCGCGTTTCCATTACAGATTTGCGCAAAACTTTGGCGATATTTTCTGAATGTCGATAAAAAAGTATTGCGAAATGACGGCGTTTCCATTAACCAATGTTATGCGGCTAAAACGTAACCTTTTGCCTCTCGCGATAAGTCATGGCAACGGATTTTGGTGGGATTTTGACGGACTTTGGCTATATTTATTCAAAGGAGGCTTATGTGTGTGTCTTTACAGAAGCAGCAAAGAGAGCCGCTTCAGAAACGTGCGTGGCGCGGCTGGAATAAACCATAGACTGTATAAAAACATAAACACAAGCATTGAGTGGCCGTAATCAGCTTCAGTTACCGTATCAGAGCCACACTGCACCGCAGACGTGTGCAGTGTAAATTGTCCAAGTATTAATAGTAGGGAAAGCACCTTATACTGGAATGCGGCCACTTTTGAAGTGTTTCTTGGAGGTTATAGTACGTTGAAGAATGATCATGACTTTTTACATACGCCATGTGACCTGTAAATGCGAAAAAGCCGTTTCCATTGCAGTTTTGCGAATTAATCCTTTTTCGCATTGCCTGAAAAACCACCTCATGAGAGCGTAAAAACTTTTTTGCGATATATGGCCGTTTTTGCGAAATTGCCGCGTTTCCATTAAGCGTATTTTCAATTCGCAATTTCAATTTGCGCAATTTGAAGGGCAATGGAAACACGCCTGAGTACCAGAGTTGCTGTCTCCCAGTAAGTTTCTCAGGAGTTGCGTTTAATGAAGAACTGGTGTTCAACAGTTTGGCCAGGTGCTTGACATACTGTGAAATGTGCAGTTTTGTGGTCGAAGAGCACGCTATATGGATCAGTAGAGGAGTTGGGGACATTTGCTGCATACTCCCTGAGGATGTCCTTCTTCCAATGGGGTTTATTAATCAAGTTGTCAGTGGCCTCCTTCATTGGGGATGTCCTACTACACATAAAAAAAAAAAAAAAATTATGGGTATATTTGATAATTAATTGCACGACTCATATTCACATCCCTAAACCTGAAAAGTCCTGTTAAGTCGCACTTTCTGCTTTAAACTGTAAACTCACAGGAAACTAAACAGTTAAAATGGGCATGACTTAGCATAGAAATGCAAGAAAACATTGTTCCAGAGAAAACAAAACACGTTTCCGGAGTAAAACCTTTATTAGCTCTCCTTTTTAAATAAGAAAAACCCTTAAATACAGAAGAGCATCCACAGTAGCTTTCAAGCTTTGAATCTTGAATTTTCAGCCTATATTTAAATATATGCATTTCCCTGCGAGTAATAATTTCGATTGAAATGTGCACCCAATAACATCAATTAATATTTAAATATACAATGGATTTCCAGTCAACATACTGAAGACAACTGTGGAAACACAAGCAGTAGTTTGTTGCAGTTTTAAACAAATCATTTTAAATTAACCACGAAATGTAACAAGAAACAACCAAAGATAGTTTCAGGGTTAGTGACATTTCGTTTTATTTCCTTCCCTCTCATTTGAGAGTAATGAATGGTGTCTGTGAGCTGTTTCAATATCATTTAGCCAGCTATACATGTGTGACACAATCCTACAGTTCACAGAAACCCACAGTTCTGACTCTCACATTGTGAAAGAACAGGCTGAAAAAAGCTGAAATGCTCTTTTTTAAAACCACACTGAAAAAGACAAGAGCAACTAAAGCAGAGGTATTTAAGCAGGTGGTGATAGCAGTTAAACTGCCCCTTTGTCACTATTACATAACAAAGAAGTTCTGTCATAAATAAATTCCTTAATATTTATACACTGCTTTTTTTCACCTGTTGCTATCAGATAATACTGCACATCCTCTTTGTATCGTCCTCAAAATACCCTGAGCTGTTACAAAGGTCAAGCATTGAACCATTTTTTCGCCCTTCATTCATATCCTGTAGTAGCATTAGCTCATTAATGTGCAGATTAATTTGGTACATTAACGTTTTGTTATATTTGCCTTAAACGTGCTGTATGCCATCAATGTGAATTATCGGTTTTGCTTTTTGACTTCTTTTAAAGAATCTATAAAGTATGACAAAAAGAGGAAGTATTTAGTATAACACACACAAAAACAGAGGAACTCTAGTTCGATATCTAGTTCTCGAGATGAAGTAATATTTTAAAATAAAACAACTTCCATTCCATCCCTTATCTCTCCCTGGCGCGCGCGCACACACACACACACACACACACACACACACACAATCCTTTCTACAGAGATTAGTCAGTCTC